GCTGTGCCCCCTCCCAGCTTCTTGTGCACCTCCAGCCTTCTCAGTCGGCAGAGCATGGGAAGCTGAAAAGTCCTTGACTAGTGTAAGCACTACCTAGCAACAACTAAAACATTGGTGTGTTATCAACTTTGTTCTCATCCTAAATCCAAAACACAGCACTGTACCAGCTACTAGGAAGGAAATTAACTTCATCCCTGCCGAAACCAGGACACTCCTGAGGAAGACAGAAATATAAGTGTTATTTGACTAAAAATCACTTTTTAAAGTCAATAAGCTGATCATGTTTTTAAGATGAGGGAAAGTTTCATTAAAATCACCTTCTAAAAGAAATAAAAGATTAGCAATGAATAAATGAATGAAAATAAACCATTGAAATGGATTCAGTTAACTAAAAGCCTGCGGTCACTCTCTTGATTTTCTGGATGTGAAAGGTAAGGAATGATACATGTTAGAGAAGATCAAAGTCCAGGTTCAGTATAACAATTCTTTACATAACTCATAACCATAAATGACTATACATTGAATAGCTTAGACAAGCCCAGCTGGAGGAATACATTTTCCTACTGGAACGACAGACAGAAGCTATCTAATACCTGTAGAGCATTTGATGGCTTTCATCTGTTCCTGTCCATAAGGAATATCTTTGTAACAGGATCTCCCACTTTCAGCCCTACCTTCTGCTCCAGAAATTCAGGGAGCCACAGCAATAACTTAGTTCTACTCCAGTGACCAAGATGGAGAAATAAATGTTAGCTTTCAAATTTTTTCCCCTCTTCCATCAAAAAACAGAAGTTCACTCTACGTGCCACCTTTGGACCCTTACTGTTGTGGAAGAAAAAGGGAGATTTGTTCCTTCTGGAGCAATTACACTGACAAAACATGTCATGTTCACTCACTGTACAGTACAACTTCCCTTCCTGGTATACACACAATTGTCTTCCTTCATTGTACAGTATCTCATTATCTTTCCAACCTAAAAAATTCAGTCTACTTTTTCCACTGAAAAGAAATGCCACCTTTTAACATAGTTGCCACTTTCTTGCCTCCATACCAAATTGTTCAGTCTTTCACTGTGTTCTGACCTTAGACTGGTGAGTTTTGCTCCCCTCTGAAGTGGTGGAGCAAAGCATCAGATTCCCAGATGCTGAGGTCTGAGCTGAAACTGGGCGACTGAGCGCTCTGGCTGACAAGTGTGCTGCTTCGGGACTGGTTTAAGACAATAGCCTGCACTTTTGTCAAAAAAAGGCAGTGCTGTCACACATTCCTGAGTCTCCTTTTGGGTCAGGACTCATGTTTCTGATGCCACGCTTGTTGCTACTTCAGAAAGCTGATTTTAGTTTGTCTTCTGAATATGAATTGACAAAATTTTGTTGTCATGTTACCAAGACCTTTGCTTTGCACCTTGAAGGGAGCCACCATTCTCCATAAGAGAACCAGACAGGCAGACCAAGATTTACAAACACAAGACCAGAAAGTTAAGCTTCTTTGTATGTGCACTTATTTTCTGATGTGCCGAGCACCGAGAAGACCTACCAAAGGTCAGGATTTAAAAATCTAATGTTTCTGGAAGGCTAGCCACAACACCTGCCTTCTCACAAGTTAGCAACAGAGAACCTGCAAACACCATAACGAAGAGCTCTCCAACACTTGAGACTATCTGATAGAAACAGCAGACCTGTCACACAGAGCACTGGCCATTACCTCGAGAGAGCGAATCACATATTTTACTACTGACTGTTCACGTCGACTAACTTTGGACAACAAATGTGGACAGTTAAAAGGCTCCTAAAGTCAGGCAGTGAGGAAAATCTCATGTTACCTAATCAATACTTTTGCAGTACTTTTGAACTTTAGGATATATCATCTTTATGAATTTTCCTTCACTGCACCTGACTTGCAAATTGAAAACAACACATAATATAAGTCTATATGCCAGCTCTTTAAAAAAGAATTCTTAAACCTAATATTGTGCTGATCTTGAGATTTGAAATCAGTATTAACTAATACATGGAAGCTGCAATGAGACTAAATCATAAATGTGATTCGATTTTAAGGAAATTATTTAAGAAGAAAACATTGTGCCTCTTAAGTACTTAAGCTGTTAGTTAAGTAGTAATGCTTATTTTCTATCCATTTCACTTACAATTCTGCACCTGTATTTATCACTTTCAGAGTTTTTCTTTTAACCCTTAGAATCTCAGTTCAGGAAAAAATAATTACAGTGTACTTTGAAGAGGACTGTAAGACATGCTAGTTTGCTATGCTAGGTCATAGTTAGAAGGTAGATTTAGCTCTGGTAAAGTCTGTGCAAAAAAATGCTGCAGTCTTTTTCTTATAGAAAACTTACATATACTTTAAGAACTTTTTACCTTCATATGAACAGTGTGATTTATTCATTTATTTGTAGAATTATAGATAAAATACCAACTCATTTATTTATTATTTTATTCTATCAAATCAAAGCCTGGAATGAATTTGATTTTTACTCCTTATGGTTAAATGACATTTCATTATTGTTGTTATAAAAGACAACAAGAAGGAAAGATGATCTGTATTTAATAGATTAAAAATTATTTATATTTTAATCTCATTATGCCTACCTTTTTATGCACATGGTAGAGTATTTAAGTTCTATTCAGATCTTCAATAAAAGATAACCCACGACAAAAAGTCATATGCAATGAATAAGATATATCAGCATGACACTGAATTAGTGGAATTCATAAATATATTTCCTCCAGGTGAAATAAAACAGAAAAAAACCACCCCAAATCCAACAAATGTAATTGATTTTGATACTGTCCTGCAAAACATCCTTGTCTCTAAAAGGCTGAGAGAGTTGGGGTTGTTCAGCCTAGAGAAGAGAAGGCTCCGGGGAGACCTTATAGCGGCCTTCCAGTACTTAAAGGGGGCCTACAGGAAAGATGGGGAGAGACTCTATCAGGGCCTGTAGTGATAGGACAAAGGATAATGGTTTTAAACTGAAAGAAGGTGCATTTAGATTAGACGTAAGTAAGAAATTTTTTACTGTGAGGGTGGTGAGACACTGGAACTGCTTGCCCAGAGAAGTTGTGGATGCCCTGTCCCTGGAGGTGTTCAAAGTCAGGTTGGATGGGGCTTTGAGCAACCTGATCTAGTGGAAGGTATCCTTCTCCGTGGCAGGGGTGTTGGAACTAGATGATCTTTAAGGTCCCTTCCAACTCAAACCATTCTATGATACTATGATTTACGACTGTTTGCATG